GGGGGGGCAGTGAAAAGAGGGAGACGATGAACGAAAGTGACAGAACGAGAAAGAGATAGAACGAACAAATTAAAGAAAGAAACAAGAAAGAAAAAAGGAGGGAAGGAAGGACGGGAAAAAGAAAGGAAGAAAGGAAGGAAGAAGAGCAGGAGAGAGACTTAAGGTGTGTCATTGAGCTGTTTGTGTGTGTGTGTGTGTGTGTGTGTGTGTGTGTGTGTGTGTGTGTGTGTGTGTGTGTGTGTGTGTATGTGTGTAATAATGATGAATAAGATACAAACAAAACAAAACAACAACAACAACAACAACAACAACAACAAACCAGCCTAAAACTGATGCTGCTCTTGACTTACTTTTGGTCGACTCAAGAAGTGAGCAAACAGGGAGTGATCCTGCCCTCGCCTCGTGCTCTGTATCCTCTCGCCCTCCTCCGTGAAGAAGTCGTGCAGGGCAGAACTCGCAGACGGGATCGCCGCATAGCCGTAGATGAGTAGGATGAGGATGAACAGAGCACTCACTGGTACAAGCACGGTAAGGACCTGGGGGTTGATGATGGATTTAGTAAAGTAATCTTTCACGACGTCGCCATCATTCAACTTTGTAGAATGTCAAAATATGAGGTTTTCAGGAGAAACTTGTCTTATTTTGCTTTACTAAAACAATACATATAAAAGTAATTTGTTTAAATCCGTTACTTTTTTAAAGAAGAAGAAAAATGGGACTTGACCAATCGCTACACGTCTCATCTCATCTCAAAATTCTACAACATACTACTCGATTTTCAATTATTTGAAATTTTAATATTCTACAATGCTGAATGGTGGCGAAAATGTTTAGAGGATTCAACGGGTTTCATTGCTAAGCTGAGTAAGACAGGAGCTAAGTAAAATGTGTGCACATATCTGTTACTGCTAATCGATTTCAAGGACTGACGTCATAGAACTCCGGACACGTCCCTCGCCTCAGAATCCATTACAGAGGAAGCGCTGAGACAGAAGGGACTTTTTGTGTCAGAAAAAATACGCACGCCTTTGAACGCTTATCTTTATTTGCAGCATCTAAGCCATAATAGAGTATGCATTATTATTCTTTTCCCAACGTTCACTGAGGGAGTATTTTTTTTCTTCACTGTAGTAGTCTGAGGAGTTTCTTAAAGAGGCATAGAAAAAAGTGTTGGGTATGATTCTTGCTCTAGATAAAGTCAACTAGAAGCTTTTTTTCCCTAAGGCCTAGGATGTAGAGTAAAGGAGAACAATGGAACACTACAGAGACAGAAGTTGTGAATGACAGCTGTAAACGTTAACAGACTGCGACACTGTTTGTCAGACGGGGATTCAAATGGTAAATTGGAATAAAAATTCGATCAAGGCTTCGGGTATCTGAGGAAATAAGAGAGTGTTTATAT